TTTTTAACACTGCTCTTACTTATTCCAAATTGATTTGCAATGACTCGATATTCGGCACAGCTGCCCAGTTTATACAGAACAACTGCAACTCGCATCATGAGCGGAATTGGAGTTCTAACAGTCACCTCTTCTGGGGCTAAATGACTCTCCATCAAAGTGCACAACTTCGTGAAAGACAGACGTGTCATGCGAAAATTCTGCTTCCACTCCTGGTCGGTGAACTGCGTGAGGACCACACGCTCCCACCAGTCTTTACTTCGGACTTTCATCCACTGGTTTCTGGTCTTTTGTGGAGGTAGTGGCAGCAGCATTAAACTTACCGGCAGCAAAGATCTTTCTCGGATGTATATTTCCTCCCACGCCCTCATCCTGCTAAGAAAAAAGACTAAAAGCATGCGTTGCTTCACCTGTAGCTCAATCAGGGAGTGTAGTAACAACTCCGTCACTGTCATTACAACCTGGCGCGGGTCCATTTTTGGCGCTCAAGTTTGTTTACGTTTGTCCCGGAAGTAGAACTTCTTCTGTGGTTTTCACGGAAGTAACTTCTTCTTCTGTGTTTTTTAAGGAGAGTTTACCACTCTGCGCATGTCAGTATTTCTGTTCAGATTAAAAGCACACTGCATGTAAACGCATGTCGTGAACGGATTGTGCCCATGTAAATGATACATTTGAATTATTCAATCAGAACACATTTCAATCCGGTCAAAGAATTCTGCGCATGTAAACATAGCTATCGTTGTCATCACTCTTTGTTTAAAACAGGTCTCTCTTGCAAATGAGTCCCCGAGGCTCAATGAGACTAACATGTAGAAATAAAGCTTGAATGAATTTTTGAACACTCAGCTTGGTTACAAACAGAATTCAATGAGACCTACAAAGCACGTCTATTTTCTCAATTTATTTTTCGCATTGTTTTGTCTTAAACAGGCACGGCGCAGAGATCGAGTTCACAGTGTCCTGTGTGGGTCATACCTGTGGGGGAGGGGGGAACCTCTGATACGGTGACTGCTGCTGTGATTGTTGTTGTTGCAGGGGCGGCGTCTGGGAGTAAGGTGATTGTTGACTCTGCTGGACATGACCTGGGGGCTGCTGGGCTTGAGAAGGTGGACCTCCTGCTTGTTGCTGCAGGGGTCCTTGCTGCTGCTGCTGTGGGGTTGGCTGCTGTGGTGGCTGCGCCCCTCCAGGTGTCTGTGGGTATCCAGGTTGGCCCTGAGGGCCCTGCTGACCTTGGGGACCAGGACCCTGCTGCTGTTGTTGAGGCTGCTGCTGGGGAGGAGCATAAAGTGACTGTCCGGGCTGAGACTGTGGGGGCTGGCTGTAGGGGGACGGACTTGGAACAGAGCCATGGGTAACTTGGGTCTGTTGGTAAGGGGTCCCCGGCTGCCCATGTTGCCCAGACGGTTGAGATGGGTGGCCCTGCTGAGGGTAGGGAGTACCAGAGCTGCCTTGGGTCTGGCCAGGATATGAAGGTTGCTGTTGGCTAGGGTGAGACGGGGGGCCATGTTGACCATAGTAGCCCTGGTTCTGCTGGTTGTAGCCTCCCGGACCCTGCTGTCCATATGCAGATATCTGTATAGGACATAAGGGAAAGATTTGGAGTCACAGAGAAAGTAACACAGAGCCTGTTGAGAGTAAATTTACATATTTTAAATGAACCGCAAACATATGAAGATAAATTAGCCTCAAAAGCAAACCACAAACATTAAAAATATTGCAATTGCCAATGTACAAGCTGCTACAGTTTTCTTAAGACTTTGTACCCTGCGGTTTATATGCTGGAGCTACAACTTTATGTATTTATTTCATAATTTTCATAAGTTTTTTACTTTATTTTGACAGACTTCCCGCCGTCTCGCTGTAACTTCCTGCCTCTGACTAACATTTTCCTTCGACAAAGCTGGGCACTCATAGCTCCCAGCACCCTCCAGAAAGTGTGTAAAATGAGTTGGGGAGCTGGACCAAGTAATAAGCAAAAAAACTACCATTTCCATACGCAATGGGGGGAGGACTTGTGGGGTTTTTTTTCCCCACAATGTCATATTCAAAGTGCGTTTTACCGGAGCGTCATTTTCAAACTAAATTCATAAATACTACGGCACTGATTTCCTTCCGAAAAGTGAGCTGAGAAAGAAAATGGTGAAGGAACTAAAATCCCAGTTATCTGGACAGCAATCAATCAATCAATCAACTATATTTATATAGCACATTTTAAAAACCACAAGGGTAGCCAAAGTGCTGCACAATACAACAATAAAAACAAACAAAACAATAAAAACATACAAAGCATACACAAAGAAACATAAAAACCATTCACATACCAGTTTCACAGCAGGTGTATTAAAAAGCCATAAAAGATAAGATCACGTGTTAAAAGCCAAAGAATAAAAGTGTGTCTTTAAAAGAGATTTAAAAACAGGAAGAGAGGAGGCCTGTCTCACACTCAAGGGTAAAGTGTTCCACAACCTGGGAGCAACAACAGCAAACGCTCTGTCACCTCTGAGCTTCAGCCTAGTTTTAGGGACTGCCAGCAGCAGCTGATCAGCTGATCGTAGGGATCGGGGTGGACAGTAAGGCTGAAGCAGCTCAGACAGATATGGTGGGGCAAGGTTGTTCAGACATTTAAAAACAAACAGCAAAAGCTTCAAATTAATTCTGTAGTGCACAGGGAGCCAATGAAGGGACGCCAGGATGGGAGTAATATGCTCGCGCCTACGAGCCTGAGTTAACAGGTGAGCAGCAGAGTTCTGCACAAGCTGCAGACGAGCAAGAGACGTCTGGCTAATGCCTGCATACAGCGCATTACAGTAGTCAAGACGAGCTGTGATAAAAGCATGGATTAATTTCTCCAAGTCAGGTCTTGCTAGGATTGGTTTCACTTTTGCTATTTGGCGGAGCTGATAAAAACTTTTCTGAACAACACTGCTGATCTGTTTTTCAAATTTAAAATCAGACTCAAACTTCACCCCCAGATTGGTGACACAGTCCTTGAGATAAAATGACAGTGAGCCAAGATCTATGCTGGGAGAGGAACGGCAACTTGGTCCAAACATCATAACTTCAGTCTTGTTCTCATTTAGACTAAGGAAGTTAAGAGAGAACCATGTCTTAACATCATTAAGGCAGTGTGTAAGTTGTTGAACTGTGTTGTTTTGTGCCATGGGAAAATAGATCTGGCAATCATCAGCATAAAAGTGAAATAAAATGCCATGCTTCCTAAAAATCGAGCCAAGGGGGAGTAAGTAAAGGGCAAATAAAAGAGGGCCAAGGATTGAGCCCTGGGGGACACCATGTGGAAGAGCAGTCATTTTTCTTATGGCTGATCAGCAGCAAAGCATCATTCTGGGTGAGTTAAGCACAAGTCTTTTCAAGATGGAGAGATGGTAAAAGAGACTTTTTTTGAAGCAGCTGACTCGTTGTTCAGAGACTTTAAAAACAAACCAGAAACATTATCTTCCATCAAAGCTCTCCAGGTATCAAGAAATGTGGTTACAGTTAAAAGCAGCTGCTGTCAGGGCTGAATTTTCACTTTTGTTCTCAAGTTCTCAGGTTATTTTTCAAACATGAACTTATTCTTGCTGTTTTCTGTTCCTCTGTGTGAAGAACACAAGTTATTGCTGGGTTTTCTTTATTATTTTGTACGCGGACAGCAAAAATAAATTGTCACTTTTTTTTTTAACAAACTTTTGGGTTTTGTCATTAATGTTGCGTCCACAGCGAGCTGGAACTTATTCATTCATTCAACCTTTATTTATACAGGTTAGTCTCGTTGAGTCACGAGAGAGACCTGTTTTAGACAGACAACATATAAAGTACAGACAAAATAAAGTACAGTAAAATGCAATTAAAATAAAAGCAGTGTTATAAAACAATAACTCAAGGTGCCAAGATGGTAAAATACTGAAAAAAAAGAACGTAAAACATATAAAGCACACTCAGGTTGTTTTCACACCTGATAGTCCAGTAGACTTGGTTTGGTTGGGGACCAATATTCATGACCTTTTGTTACATTTGAGCTGGTGCGTTTGCATTCACACTGCACTGTGCAGTCGAGCTAACCTGTTGAACCAACCTGTTCCCCCACTCGCCTGTGGGGGCGCTGCGCCAAGAACTAATGAAAGAAACAACACAAAACCTCTGAAGACACTTCTTCTTCTTCTTCTTCTGTAAATAAAAATAAAAACGGAGTGGCATCAAGTTTTAGCAGTTTTAGGAGTTATATTTTGTCATTTTTTTAAAATGGACTCAGCATGAGCAGAAGATGAGACAGAAGACCATGGAGAATGTTGTTTTTCACACAAGGCAGCTGACGGCTCCATATGAGCTAAGAGAAATGCGTGTGTGTTTGTCCTGGGCTGTACTCCACTTCCTGCTTGTGGAGCAGGGCCGGTCTGTTTACATTCACACTGCACTTGAACCGAGCTGGAATTTTCTTCTACCGGACCGAGACCTAGGTTTTAGCCCGGGCCAGAGTTCGCCTTTTTATTCCATGACAGAGTTCGATGGCTCGTTCACACCTCCCCAAACGAACCGGACTTTCTAGGAAAACGAGCTAGAGTTTGATTAAAGCGGACTAAATAGAGCTGGTGTGAATGCACCCTTAATATGTTTATAAATTAGTATGTTCCCCAGTCATTGCACATCTCGTGGTGTCTCTGAGCAGAACACCTTATGCCCAGTTGCTCCTCGGGCACTTTCAATAGCTACCCACTTCTCCACCTGGTGGTGGATGGGTTAAATGCAGAGAGCCAATTTTGCCACTGTATGGGAATATACAATGATGACAATACATAATGCATTATTATTATTATTATTATTATTATTATTATTATTATTATTATGTTTTATATTTTAATAGTAGGTAGATCACTTGGACTTGGTCATTTACAAAGTAGTTTGCATGCTGAAAAAGAGTGGGCATCCCTGATTTAAAAAGTACATTTAAAAACAGCAGCTGTTACCAAAAGTGTTTAATAATAAAACTCCATGGTAGTAATTTACTGAATATTTATCATATTTAACGGGTACTATTTAACTTCCGGTCACGTGACCAGATAAGACTCCTTGGGAATATTTGCTGGTACATAATTTTTAAATAATTTTGGGTGTTTGGCACTGATCTGTCCAGTGATTATACTTAGATAGTTCTTGTGTTCATTTATGCCCCTTTTCCATTAGTACCGGTACGGGCCGACTCGACCCTACTTGGCCTGGTTCTGAGGCTTTTCCATTAGTACCGGTACTTAGCACCTGTTACTATTTTCAGTACCCTTGGCTCTGTGGTTCTAACCGGTACGAAGAGGTACAAAAACGTGACATCAGTAAACTGTCGGTCACTGATTGGTCGGGGGCGGAGTCGGGGGCGGAGTCACTGGATCCTTCAGAAACTTTCAAAACAATAATCCGCCATTTGCAATTTCTCGGACTGGAGCAGCCTGGACTTATTTTAAAGATTTTAAAAACAATACTGACAACATCTTGGTCTAATGTTGATGTGCTGGCATTTTTTGTGCTTGGTGGCCGACAACATAATTCAGAGCAAGCTGGATGGAGCTCTGCTGGTCTACCCCGATCCTCCCTCCGGAGCCTCGGAGCGCCAGGCCGGGCAGGGCGTCATCTCCCCGGCTCCAAGTTCAGCTGGTCACCGCGGAAGATCCTTCGATGTGCCGACTCGGATGCTCGGGTTCCAGATACCAGCCTTGTGCGCTCAGAGCTCCGCAGATCACTGCGAAGCTGGAGATGGGGACTCACAGATGGACGTGGCCAGACCCCGGCCGCGCGTAATCATGAAGGCTGAATCCCGATCCCACCCGGCAGTCAGGCGGACTGGACAGTCTGGGACGGACTGTGGAAGCGATTTTTAAATAAAAAAATATTTTGTTTTTATATAAAAAATGTTTTAAAAAATTGCTGAAGGGATTTAAAAATGATTTTTTTTTTTTACACGTAAAATGTTTTTTAAAATCGCTTCCACCGTTCGTCGCAGACCGTCTCTGTCCACCTGTCTGCGCGGGTCGGACCTTCATGATTACGCGCGGCTGGAGTCTTGGAACGGCCTCTGTGAGTGACCAGCTGAACTGGAGCTGGAAAGATGAGCCTCCCAGCCTCCTCTTCTCCGGAGGAGAGGATCGTGTGACTGCGGGCAGTGTCGTGCGAGACCAGCAGAGCGTTGAAGATTTAAAAAAAAAAAAAAAAGACGGTGCCAGCTTCATCGTGAAATCCTGTTTTCACTTTAATGACTGTTAACTCAGCTGAAAATCATAAAAAGACACAAAACTATTGGATCTCAGGAATATTTCCCTCAAACATGTTTAAAGAAAAGAGACGACCTTCAGTTCAACTTTATTTTAACTCACGAATGTACAAATCACAAAACAAGAACTTTAAAGCAAAGCTAAAAATAAAATGTAAATATGTGAACAAGAAAGAAAACCACACATTTAAAATGAACATTAAAAGTAGACACAATGAGTGCAAATACATCAAATGATGATGAAAACCTATAAAAATTTAAATGTAATGTTTTTGTAGAATCTGGTTCATCAGAGTTTTAATTTATATACATATACATA